AGTACACCTAAGCTGCGGACCTTATCCCTAAGAGGGAGTGTTGCACCGGGCTTACCCATGAGGGAACAGAGAGGAATGTAGCATTCATTGCAAACTGCAGCAGGGCAAGGAAAGGCCTTCTTTTACTCTATAGGTTTATTTTATTTCTATGCTGCCCAATAGTCAGCACTGAGTAGTTTAGTGCAATTCACAGAATGCAATAAAATTCAGTTAACTATAAAAGCATCATAAAATTTTACTACAAAAAATTAAACCAGATTTAAACAACCTAAGACAAGTTAATTGTAACTTCTTTGGATAAATTTAGATTGTGAAAATCCCATGCAAATAAAAACCTAGCATGATAGGAAGAAATGTTCTGGCTCATATGGATCACTGTTGCACTAGTTTTCTATTTGTAGAGATTTCTTTAAACACACACACACACACACACACACACACTAATTACTTCACATTAATTTTTAAACCCCACTTCAGTTCTTAAATGGTATAGAACATTCCACCATGTGGGATTTCAGTTACCGGATTTCACTGCAGTTGTCGATTGTGCCTCCAAACACTAACTGTGGAAGCTTCCTCATGGATGCAGTCCCTGTGGCAGGCACAAACCTGCAGTAGACTTAACTGACCACCGTGGCCATACTTGAATTCCTGATTCTAAGAAAGCAAAAGCCAGATGTAGCCAAACACATACCCTGGATTTTAGGAAAGCCAATTTTAATAAATGCAGAACACTGATAAGCAAAGTACCATGGCATGCAACTCTAATGAGTGAAGAAGTCCAAGATGGGTGGGTTTGGTTTTTTTTAAAGGAAATTCTAAAGGCACAATTACAAACAATTCCTATAAAGGAAAAAAGGGTAGGCCACAGAAGAAGTTGATGTGTACAGAAACAAAAAAGGACATGCATAGGAAGTGGAAAGGAGGCCATGCTAGAAAGGAAGAATACAGGTAGCATGGAATTGCAGGGATCGTGTCAGGAAGGCTAAAGCTAGGAATGCCTTGGGGCTAGCAAGGCATGTTAAAAGCAGCAGAAAAGGCTTCTTCAGTTGTGTCCATAGTAAAAGACAGAGGAAAGAAATGAGAGTTCAGCTACTCAATGTGGCTGGCAAAATGATAACAGATGATAAGGAAAAGGCAAAAGTGTTCAATTCTTATTTTGGCTCAGTCTCCCAGAAGATTATCTCTGGCCTCCCTGATGAAGGGGAAGTACAAGCTGAAGAGCAGGAAGGCAGCTCAAGATTGATAGGCAAATAGTCAAGGACCATATAATTGGGGTGAATGAGTTCGAATCTGCAAGGCCCAGTGAACCTGGGAACTACAGACCAGTCAGTGTGATATCCATCCCTTGGAAAATTGTGGAGCAGATTAAACCAATCTGTCTGCAAGGACCTTTTGGAAGCAATGCTGTGATTAATAGAAGCCAACATGGATTTCTCAAGAACAAATCCTGTCTGACTGATCTGATTTAATTTTTTGATTGGGTAACCACCCAGATGGACTGTGGGAATGCTGTGAACGTAATATATATTGACTTGAACAAAGCTTTTGACAAAATGTCTCACAATATCCTGATTAGCAAACTAGCTAAATGTCTAGCTACAGAATTGGACTCAATTCTGTACTCTTTTACTCATCAGTGGCCCCTTCTCAAACTGGGGAGAAGTAAGGAGTGGGGTACTGAGGAAGTTTGGGGAACAATTATCAGATTTGCAAATGACATAAACATAGGTGAGATAGCTAATGCCCTCAAAAACAGAAATAAGATTCAAGGTAATCTTAATAAGTTGGACTGCTGGGCTGAAAACTACAGAATGAAATTTCAAGGGGGACAAATATCAAGTTCTGCACCCAGGAAAAAGAAACCAAATGCTTCATTATAAGACAGGGAATACTTATTTCAACAATAATACGAGTGAGAAGGATTTTGGAATTGTAGATCACAAGCTGAATATGAGTCAACAATGTAATGTTGTTGCAAAATGGGCAAATGCTATATTAGGTTGCATTAATAGAAGTAACACTGAGGAATTACATGCAGTACTAATGCCCCTTTACCCAGCTCTGATTAGGCCTCATCTGGAGTACTGTGTCCAGTTCTGGGCAATACAGTTTAAGAAAAATGCAGGCAAGCTGGACAGGGTTCAGAGGAGGGTGACAAGGGTGATCCAAGAACTGGAAACAAAGTGCTATGAGGAGAGTTTGAAAGAATTGGCCATATTTAGTCTTGAGAAGACAAGACTGAGGGGAGACATGACAGCACTTTTCAAGTATTGGAAAGTTTATCACACAGAGGAAGGCAAGGATCTCAATCATCCCAGTGTGCAGGACATGGAATAATGGGCTCCAGTTACAGGAAGCCAAATTCCAGCTAGATATCAGGAAGAACTTCCTGACTTAGAGCAATATGACAATGGAACCAATTGCCTAGGCAGGCTGTGGGCTCTCCCACACTGGAGGCATTCAAGATGTAGCTAGACAGCCATCTGAGAGGAATGACAACTTAGAGTCGTGCACTGAGCAGGGGGATGGACCTGATGGTTCTCTGGCCCCTTCCAACTCTACTATTCTATCATTCTATGATTGTATGACTTGAAGAGGAAACAGTATCCAGACTCATCCGGGCAGAGCCTTGCCCACTCTGAAACCTCCTAGAGTGGCTGGCAGTTATCACCAAAAAATAAGGTAGCCAGCATTCTTGTAACAAATTTTCATCAATACAAAGGCTGCACTTCCACCTAAAAAGTTCTTTGCCCCTTTCTCTCCCCCAGATTCATCATGGCAATCTGCATACAAATGTACTAACTAAACTCAGGCCTTTCTGCTAAAAGGATTTATATTACTACTAGAATGATAATGTATTACCTGTAACATTTATAATTCAGTTTTTCAAAAGCCCAGAGTGAAAGCAAAAACAACAGAACCTTGTAGAACCTTAATGATGAACTAATTTATTATAGCTTAAGCTTTCATGGACTGTAGTCCTTTTCATGACAAGCATGAAGTGTTATCCTGAGTGTGTGTATGTGTGTATACACACACAATGCAGAAGGGGACTATAAACAGATCAGAGAGAAATTAAATATCAATAGTGATAATTATGTTATTAACAGAAGCCATTCACAAAACCAATTGTTGCTGATAGCCCAACAAGATATTGGTGGGCAAATCAGTATAAATAGTGTTTGCATTTTGTTTTAAGTTGCATGGGATAAAATTGAAGCTGCTGTTGAGATCAGCAAATCTGCATGACAGAGTCCTTTTCAAGTTCCTTTGCTTCCAAATGGCCACTTCAAGATCAGCATCCTTTGTCTCTCTCCAGTATTTGAATATTGCCTTTGTGATGTCCGCTTCAGGTCCATTTATTCATTTGCTTAAAGACTGGCTCGTTTGGCTTATGAGAATACAGAAAGGCATCGCTGGCAGATGATGGCAACTAGCACATTGGAAACTGAGCAGGTAAATTATGGGTGATGTTATTAACTCCTGGGAGCATACTAACATAGGAGACGTGGGGGAACCCAGGCGTCTGAGTTAGCTTACCTGACTAAGTTGCAGCAATTGTTTAAAAACGCGCGTTCGTTACCCAGAAAAACGCTATGTCGTGTGTCCCTCATCGTCGGGAAACAGCGCACATACACGTCATAATCTAATTAAAGCCGGGCGACAATATCCCAAGCACCTACTGAGGGAATATTCGTGCTTTACCCATACGAACTGTTTTCTTCTTTCTGCTTTGCACCAGAAGAGCGCCAGTTCCTAGCAGCCCCACCTAAGGCACAGAACAGGGCGAAGCGCGAGCACTGGCCCCACCACCACACCCATCATTCTACCGGAGGGAGCGAGCAGAGGAGGCACTTCACCCGCTCGGCCGTCCGCTTCCCTCCCGCCTACCCGCCCCCCGCTCTGTCAACTCTCAGCCAATCGCCGTCCAAGCGTTCTGTTCCCCTTGCTTTCATTAGCCGGGGAACGAAAGACGCGCAAAGGGAGTGGTCCAATCGGAGCCCGGGCGCGCTCCGGGGAGAGTTGCAGGCTCTGGTTGGCCGGAGCTGGTGACTCTGGGAAGATGGCGGCCGCGGTGATGGTCGGCACCAGCTTTGCAAGCGCGGATTTCTCCGACCTGCGGGAGATCAAGAAGCAGCTACTGGACGTAGCGGAGCGGAGCCGGGAACGTGGCCTGCAGCACAGCGGGAAGTGGTGAGGCTGCAGTGGCTCGAAATGGCGTCCTGCAGGTTCTTGGCCCTGCGGTGGGTGGTTGTGCAAACAGAAGGACGCTGCTGGCTGAGGGGCTGTGTGTGGTCCTGAGGAACGGGCTGTGGCAGCTGGGGTCTGCGTGCATGAATCCTGTGGAACCGTTGGAGCGGCCTTCCTCAACCAGGCGGCCTCTAGAAGTTTCGCACATCAATTCCTATCAGCCCCAGGTGGTTGTGGAAAGCTGCTTTGGAGCAATAGTATTGTACGGGCCTTAAGTGGGTTGGGTGCCTGTGTCATTTGAAAGGGACACAGTGCTATTCGTAAGAAGAAGTTCCTGCTAACATAGTGGATTTGTGAACAATATGCACTTTAAAGTGCCAGATATATCAGGGTGCAGCCTGCCTGCAGTGTGGCGATGGGGCATATCCAAATGTGCGTGTTGATCATGTGCCAGATAGTGTTTATTCTGATGCAGTGGACTTGGTTGTTACAGGGCTTCAGAACTGGCTTTTGCCTTGGACCCTCTGCCCTTGAATGAGCTGCCTCCTGCGCCTGCACTGACAGAGGTATGGATAGGAAAGGGAATTTTCTATGTAATACTCTGAAATCCATTAAGGCTGCCAGAAACAACTTTCCTTGTGTTGGATCTGCACACTAGTTTGTGAGGTTGCAGTTCTAGGATGCTTCCAGATTAGACTTTTATTGTACTAAAGCGATAGCTCATTCATGGAATGTTATGTGGGATCCAGATGACATCTTCAACGTGTAGCCCTCCTGTGTTTTTCCACTGCTACTTATGTTCTTTTTCTTACCACAGAAAATTTGTTAAGGAGAAAGGGATGGAATATCTTCACAATATCTTCTAATTGTTAGTGTTAAGAACCCTCTATCTGGTAGCATCCTTATTCTTGATTATCTGGGTGTCAGTCTCATTGTGGCTTATGTCTGAGCAAACATGTATAGAATTGCACTGCATATCTCTACTTCACTGTAGAGTTGTTTAGGAAAGGGATGGGGAAGGTAAACATTTAACATAAAATGCATTTGTATGCATATTCAGTGCTGAATTGTTTGCATTTGAATTATGAACGGTTGTGGATGCAGTCCTGTTAGTAAAGGATCCTTAATTTAACTGAATAAACTGGCTAGGGATGAGAGTTATTCTTCTCCATATGCTTAGTCTACCTTTATTAGAAAATGGGGTTTGGGTTTGACACAATTTGAGAACCTCTGTTTTCAGTCTAATATGTTGACTTCTAGTGTGGTATGTTTGAAAAACTGACATTCAAGAAAAGCAGTTCTTTTGTTTTTCTGAAGATTTTCTTGCCAAAAGAATTGTCTCAGAAATCAGTTACATTGGAATTCAACATTCTGTTCTCTTTTTCTTAGGAAGATGCTCGTGATTTGGATGCTTACACTCTTGCTAAATCTTACTTTGATCTGAAAGAATATGACAGGGCTGCTTATTTTCTCCGGGGCTGCAAGAGTCAGAAGGCCTATTTCCTATATATGTACTCCAGATATCTGGTGAGCTATTAGGATGAAGCAGCCTCTTTTTCTGTATAATGTTCCATTTTTTGTCTTCAAGAAAAATCCTGTAAAATCTAGAAAGAGGATTGCTTCCTTTCTGCTTCTAGAACAACAGAAAAATTGCTGTTAATATGTGAACATAGTATAATATGAAATTACCTGTTCTTAAAATTAATTTTTGTTTGTTTGCAGTCAGGTGAAAAAAAGAAGGATGATGAGACAGTGGATAGTCTGGGTAAGGAAATCCAAAACAAAACCTGCCTTTGTTTGATTTTTGTCATTTGATTTGCACTTTCTTAGGCTAGAACATGAGTCCTCAAACTATCGGCCGCGGGACGGATCCAGCCTGCCATGGCCATCCATCCGGCCCGCGCTGCTGTTCGCCGCGCGCACGCACGCTCGGTGACTCAGCGATGGTCTCCGAGCAAGCAAGCCACCGCCTGCCTCCCGTACGTGTGTGCTTGCCGCTGCCTCACAGCGTGGGGAGGGAGGTGGTGGCTTGCTCGCTCAGACATGGTTTTGGACTTGCTGGGAGATCTCAGAGCCCGCACGCCTGACGGCACCCCCACCTCACTGGCCTGCGACAGTCACCGCAGCCTTTCAGCTGGCCCCCTATTGAAAAAGTTTGAGGACTGCTGGTCTGGAAGAAACTGCACAGGGAAAATGTCAAACCTGCTTTGCCCTGCCATACCATTTATTTGTTGTTGTTTTATTTAAAATATTTTAGCTGCTAGCAGTCACTCTACAACTGAATTGTCTTAAATGCATATATATCTGCTTATAATACTACATTAGTATTATTAAAGCTAGTATGTGCTAGATCTGTATCTCATACATCTTATTGTATTGGTTTGAGCATTCTTCAGATCTAAAGCTGCTGTTCTTAGCACACATAGATGATAAGAAATGTGCATCACAAAAGTTCTGTATAGTGTCCCAAAAGACAGAGATAGCATACAGCTAAAAATGAAGTAGCTGTGTATCATCTTACACAGCTAAGACAAAGCCAAGTATATTTGGCCAGATCTGCGTATTTTATTCTTGTCTGGGAAATTTTGAATGTCTGAAATTGTCAGAGATTAGAAATATAAAATACATTATATCTAGCTGCTACCTCAACCTCTGGTATTCTTAATCCATGCAGGCTAGATACCGAAATTACTAAATGGTTTGGCAGGTAGAAGATTGTCCTAAGTTTAACTTTATTTATTTAGGATATTTATATGCCGTCCTTTGCAAAAGCCTCAGGACGGCTTACAAAGCAGAACTTTAATAGTTCTGATCTGTGTATTGATTACAGTAGATTATAAGCCAGTTCTACACACATTTTCATGTTATGCTGGTTGGAGAGAACTGACAAACATATTTAAAGCCAGATTTCTCTCTCTTTTTAGGCCCTTTAGAGAAGGGACAGGTGAAGAACGAGGTTCTAAGAGAGTTGCGGGTAGAACTTAGCAAGAAACACAAAGCCCGAGAGCTGGATGGATTTGGTCTTTATCTGTAAGTTTCTAAGAGCTTAACTGATACATGAAATAGGGAATAGTCATATATTTGCATCCAGGTATGAAGCTATGATTGTGACAAATGTAGGGCTTTTTTCATTCTTTGTATGCTGTTCATCACATTGTAGATCAGTTCATACTGTATAAAATGATAAGCCAGAGTTGCTGTGAATTCTTGTTTTGGGTAATAAGCAATATTCTCGTGCAGGTTGCTCAATCACACTTGCTTAGCTTCCTTTGCTAGCAGGATTGGCTGAACAAATCAGGAAATGTCCAGTGTTGGTTTGCTTGGCATTACACTTGAACCATCATTCTTGGCTTGTTGATCTAAGAAACTGGAATCTGAAATGAGGGACTGTTCTTGCCTTCTGATCTCTTAATTCTCTGGCAGTGACATTCCAGGCATCCCTGTTCAAACATAACACTGAATAGATCAGCACTGGAGGTTTCCTGGTTCATTTAGTCCCTTCCTCCAACTGGAGGACCAAAGTGAAACACTTGGGCAGCGTGCGTCATTGTGCTGCTCCTAAAAGACGAGTCAGTATTCTGAGTAGTTTTGCCTTATTGTGATGGCATAGACTCTTGCCTTTGTAGTGTTTCTCTTTTTCTTTGCATCCCATCAGGTACGGAGTTGTGTTGCGAAAGTTGGATCTAGTGAAAGAGGCCATCGATGTGTTTGTTGAAGCAACCCATGTTTTGCCATTGCACTGGGGGGCCTGGCTGGAACTTTGTAACTTGATCACCGACAAAGAAATGGTAATTTGTGGGATTCTCACACTGGAGTTAATAATTTCACTCTTTGCTTTCTTCTGTTGTTATTTCCATTGTTCTGGAGCTGATACTGTGCTTGCTAATCTAATTCAGAAGCACTCCAGTTTAGCTGGCAAATTTTAAGAAGTTGCCTAGAACCCAGAGATGTACATGTTACTCCTTTCCAAAGATCCACTCAGGGGAATGGGTGGAGAAAGTTGATGCCATGTTCCTGTAGTTATTGGGGGCTGTTGCAGACTTCTTCTCTAAGTATGTCCCTCTTCTGTTTGGTGGTTGCTACCAGCTGAAGTTCCTGTCCTTGCCAGATACCTGGATGAAGGAGTTCTTCCTGGCACACATCTACACAGAGCTGCAGCTGATTGAGGAAGCATTGCAGAAATATCAAAGTCTTATTGATGCTGGATTTTCCAAGAGCACATACATCATCTCCCAGATTGCAGTGGCCTATCACAATATCCGAGGTCAGTGAAGGCTTTCAGGCTTGGGCAATCCCCAGTTATGTTTCCTTCAGTGTTTATTGTAACATCTGTGTTTTTCTTCAGATATTGATAAAGCTTTGTCCATCTTCAATGAACTAAGAAAACAAGACCCTTACAGGATAGAAAATATGGACACCTTCTCTAATCTGCTCTATGTCAGGGTAAGTTTTTTCTCAGCCATATCCTACTAAATTGCATCATATGAACTCCGTTACCCACAATCTTACAATGTTTCTACAGAAACTTTTAAAATCTCTAAAGCATTAAATGTACGCAGAATTCTCAAGCATGTTTTCAATGGGACTTTCTCCCTAGTATAGGTGTGATTGAAACATGACCCTGTTAGGTAGATTAGGCTGAGAGTGAATGGCTGGCCCAAAGTCACCCAGAGAGCTTCACCGCTGAGTGAAGACCAGGACCTGGATCTCCTAGTTCCAATGCAGCACTCTAGCCATCATGCCCTACTTCCTTGTACCATAACTGATTCAGTAGCAAAACGTCCTTAATGAAGAAACAGATGAATGAAAACGGAATGGGGCGAACAGAACCATTCAACATTTACATATCTGGAAAGGTATACTGAGTCTTCCTGGAACTAACTTTTAAGTTCGAAGAATGTTCAAAGAAATTGCAAAAGTGTTTGATAGCTTTTAATGCTAATGACTTCCTAACAACCCAAATCACTCTCACTATTCTTCTTGAGGACTAAAAAAATAACATAGGATAGCATGTTTGCATTCCTTAATTTACATAGTGGTTTTGCCTGTGATTTGTTTGATGCTTGTGTCCCTGTTGGCTTGATCCCTTGGGAGCAGGCAGCAAAGATGCATCAGTAAACCATAATTCAGTGGCAGTTTTGGAGGGCTTGTGGGTAAGATCCAGAGTTTCAAAACACAAATTTATGGAACGTATTGGAATGCCTGATTGACAATCCAGTGACCAAAGCTGAGGCTTGAAATGTTGTTCCACTTGCTTTCCTTATGCAGTAGTTTTCAAGACTGTTTCTAGTTTATTGCCCTCTTTCTCCATCCTTTCCTCATGCTTATCGCCTTCATGCTAGGGTATGAAACCTGAACTGAGCTATTTGGCCCACAATCTATGTGAGATTGACAAGTACCGCGTTGAGACCTGCTGTGTAATTGGTGAGAGACCTCCTTTCTTGTTCACTTGAAGAGGGAACGCGGGAATAAGTTGCTCCTTTTTCACAGCAGATACTGTTTAGGAGGATGGTTGTTGCCTAGTCTTGGGTTACCTTTTGCTCACAGCCATTTTGTGTTTTCTTAGGGAATTACTACAGTTTGCGCTCACAGCATGAGAAAGCAGCACTCTATTTTCAAAGAGCACTGAAGCTGAATCCTCGGTATCTTGGAGCATGGACCCTGATGGGGCATGAATACATGGAAATGAAAAACACATCGGCAGCTATTCAAGCATATAGGTATGTGCGGGGGCCTTCCAAACTGGGGATTAATTGAGTTATTAATTCATTAATTTACTCTGTCAGTCTCCTATCTTTCACACTCACATACCTCTGCTTGTGTGCTTCCAGCCTCTTTGTCAAAGCAAATTGTTATGATTCTTTAGATATGCGTTTCATCTCCCGTTGTAGCTAATCTTTTAAACTCTCAAATTATTTTTATATCTCTCCCCACCTCTAATAGGCATGCCATTGAAGTGAATAAAAGAGACTACAGAGCATGGTATGGGTTGGGGCAAACATATGAAATCCTCAAGATGCCATTTTACTGCCTCTATTATTATCGACGAGCCCATCAGCTCAGGTAAAGCAACCAGCATAGTTATCTTGTTCTGCATCTAATTCTTTTCTAGCTGTCATTATTAGTGGGTAATGGGTGAAAAAGAACTGTGCTGCAGTCATATGCACATTTAGACAGAAAACAGTAATTCTTTTTTTTTTTCTGTCTAAAAGTCATGCTAGCTAGGGAATGGTAAGAGTTGTAGTATTTTTTCAGTCTAAACATGCACAGGATTACACCTTTAAACTGTTTATTTGGAAGTATTCATTTAAAAATAATGTATTGACATACTTACAGTGGTACCTCGGCTCACGGACTTAATCTGTTCCACGACTCTGGTCGCAACCCAAACTGGTTGCGAGCCAAGTCAGGGTTCAGTGTAAATAAGGTTAATCCATTCTGTAAATATTTTTTTTAATCACAAAAATTTGAAACAAAGTAACAAAGAACAACAAAGTAACAAAGTACAGTATAGTAGAGAAAACTAACCTAGGTGGGGGGGAGGTTATTGCCTGGAGGGAGAATCCAAACGATAATGGTGCGATAGCGATCGTGCTTGTGTTGGGGAGATGGCTGCGGTTGTGCTTGTGCATGGAAGATGGGTGTGATCACAATTGCACTCGGGGTGGTGGTGGGAGATAGCTGCGATTGCAATCATGTTCGTGCAGCAACATGGCCACAATCGTGGTCATCACCCAATGCGGTGTTTGCGAACTGAGGCAATTTTTTTCTGAAATTTCTGTTTGTGACCCGAATTGGTTGTGAACTGAGGTGTTCTTGAGCCAAGGTACCACTGTATCTGCAAATGATGAAATCTTGCATTTCAGTGCAGCCTCTGCTGGATTTCCCATAGTCAGGGGATTACAATGATCAATTAAAAAGAATCTGATCATAATTGTTGCAGAAAGCAATGGGTCTTAGTTTTCTCCCCATTGTTGCCAGAGTTTGCCCTTCCTCTAATTCAGGGGCTGGGTAGAAAATGACAGTTTAAAATAAAGATTTGAAGCTAGAGTGAAGTATTCTCATAATTGAATCTAGAATTGAAATGCCAAATTCTAGATTCTTATTTGATGTATAACAAATAAGGATTCAGAGATGAAGCTTAGCCCTCAATAAGGCAGCTTTTGAATCTGAATTAGTGGGGTCTTTTTGTCAGCTAGCTATTTTGTGTTTTTCACAGACCCAATGATTCCCGCATGTTGGTTGCACTTGGAGAATGTTATGAGAAATTAAATCAGCTAGTAGAGGCCAAAAAGGTATGAGAAGCCTCAGATTTACAATGGAGGGGTTTCTGGGCTAACATGAACCAGATAAAGGGATCGAAACTGGTTCATTTAGATTGAATCAGAGATTTGCTTATGTTGCTTCTTTCCATGCAGCTTCTTTTGATACTGGACTGATGAATGTACTTTATATAGTGGGACAGTTAGGCATTGCAGAAGGATGGCAAGATCTGAGCATTTTCAAGAATGGAAATGTTCCATTTGTCCATTAACTTCCATGGGTTTTATAATAATGAGGATCAGTCCTTCAAATTGTTTTAGCCACCTGCAGTCCTAAATCTATCCTAAAAAGAAGACGTGTCACTTAAATGCTTGGACCTGTTTGTACTGGAATTACACCACCTAAAAAAATCATCACATCTTTGGTATGCTTTATCTAATTTGTCCACCTCTGCCAGAGGGGGAAATGGTTAATAGTATGCATTTTGCCCCTGGTTCTGGATTTATACACTTCAATTCATTTAACTATTCTTTCTTCACAGTGTTATTGGCGAGCGTATGCAGTAGGAGATGTAGAAAAAATGGCACTTGTGAAACTAGCCAAGTGAGTAATGACTAATGTTTTTACTTTCTAATTGTCTTGGGCTTTCCCAATAGGTCAGCAATACTATCAATAGGTCAGTAGTAATATCAGCATGGGCATTTCCCTAATGTTATGCAAATGACCCCTGGAAAAAGTGGCAAGCACAGGCATCAAAGCATTTAGTAATGGTTCTTTTACCCTAGAAATGCAAATCATGATTGAGATACCCAAAACTGGTATCATGATAATCATGATTTCAGTCTGATAATATACTGTAAGGTATTTGGAAGGTATTAGTTCCACGCTCAAAGGCTTGTAGTGGATAACAAATACTTCCTGCTCTTGTGGTTGTCTTTGCACCCTTTAGCCAAGGACATCCTTTTATCTTATTTCTTCTTTTCCAGACTTCATGAACAGTTGAATGAATCAGAGCAAGCTGCTCAGTGCTATATCAAATACATCCAAGATATCTATTCCTGTGGGGTAAGTCAATTCCATGTGACTTGAGGAGTAAAAGAAGATATACAGCCACTTCCTAAAGACCTTTATCCTATTCTAGGAAATAGTGGAGCACCTGGAAGTGAGCACCGCCTTCCGCTACCTGGCTCAGTACTATTTCAAGTGTAAACTTTGGGATGAAGCTTCAGCCTGTGCTCAGAAATGCTGTGCATTCAATGATGTGAGTAACCAGCCCATTGGCAACACTCTTTTGCTGGGGCCTAATGCCTGCTTTCTCATTCTTCCTGTGTGGGACAGGGTTGCTACCACCTTTGGGCCACTCTCAATTATATATGTAAATCTCATTTGAGCCTGTGTGGTGTAGTGGTTAAGAGCCTGGGACTGGGACTCAGAGGATCTGGGTTCTAGTCCCCGCTCAGCCATGGAGCCAACTGGGTGATTTTGGGCCAGTCACAGGCTCTCAGCCCAACCTACCCCACAGGGTTGTTGTTGTGGGGATAAGATGGAGGAGGAGAATGATGTAAGCTGCCTTGAGCCCTTTGTAGGAAAAAGGCAGGATATAAATCGAAAAATAAAAATACATTTGCATGTGGTGAGGGCAGAAATGTATTCATTACTGGAAGCATCCTCAAAGGTGTTGTGCCTAGCTATAAACAGACTGATAAATATGCCACCTTAGCTTGAAATAGTAAAAAAAATACTGTTTTGAAAGCTCCTGGGGTCATACAGTATTTTTTCAGAAGTTCAGTCCTTAATGTGTTGCCTCAAACATCTCAACTGAACACTTTAAAAAAACTCGCTCAAATTATAATCAAAGTAGCAGTTGCTTCTTACTGCTCCAACTAGACCTTGTTTTTGGGGCATGGGGAAATGTTACATTGTACAGTACGTTGGGCAGCATTTCAGCATGGCTGGACTGTTCTCAGGAACATGTGAAATTTTCTAAATATCATCACACTGACCCAATTCACATAAAACAAAAAGGCCATGAGTTATTGAAGCTGCATGGGGAACCAGCCTAGATGCTTTATGATCATTCATTGTTCTGCTGTTTCTGATTTACAAAACATGCTTCAGAGTCTGAACCTAGCACTGTAGGTTGTTGAGGAAGAACCATTCAGAATTTTAGCCATTGGTTCATTGTTGCATTAAAACTGTGAACTGAATCTCCCGCAACAACTCAAAGTTTCAGGTTCTGATTTTTCAACCAACAATCTAAGAGCAGATGCCCGGATGGTGTTATACTTCAGAAACAAGGCAGAAGTGGCAAGCGCTCACAAATTCTGTGTGATGCAGAACAATACTTGTGTGACCTCTAGCAACCTATGAATTAAACCATGTAAACCAGGTTGCTGGTTTTGCTCATTCTAGTTTTGCTTGCTCTCTTTCAGACAAGAGAAGAAGGGAAGGCCCTCTTGCGGCAGATCTTACAGTTAAGAAATCAGGGGGAGACATCATCTACAGAGATTGGCACACCCTTCTTACTTCCTTCTTCGCTTTCTGCCAACAACACTCCAACACGCCGCGTGTCACCACTGAACTTGTCTAATATTACACCTTAAAGTATACGTGCTTCCCTAAGGTGGCCTGAGTTGAGTGGTAACCCCCTGGAGTTTGGCTTTTTCCTTTGAGGAGTGCCACTTTAGGGGGAGTTCTGAATTCAGTTCTGTTTTCTTTGGAGGGCTGAATGCTGATAGACCCATTTTTGGGAATAACTATGGCACTGCACCTGTCAAAGGTTAGTGGCTCAGACTGCATACTGAGTGAACTGAATCCACTCTGACCTCCTTCTCTTACTAGTATGATCTCAGTGGAAGATGAGTAGGTCTATTTCTATACAACAGAATGTTAGGGTTGCTTTACTGGCGCTTTTCACTACATTCCTTTTTTCCAATGCAACATAACATGAAGTGTGTCAACTAGCCAACAGAATGAGGCAAAGTTGTGCCTCAAGTCTTTCTGGAATGGCCGTCAGCTCCTTTTGCTTTTTTATTACTAAACTTTGAACAAAACTGCTACCTTGGATTAAGACTGAAAAAAAGGAGTGTGAACAGCACAGAAAAGATAATCTGTTTTAGCACAAAGTTTTTTTTAATCCAGTCTTTACAACAGTTAATGCTGTTGTGCAGCTAGGTAACAGCAGTGAAGGAACTACCATCTGTATTTAAGCCAACAATGTAGCATTGGACCTGTTTTTCCATATGTACTGGCTCTAGGAACACCAGTTTCTTCTTGAAGACAGGCAAAACACCTTTATTTGCTCAGGAATAATAATTGTTCCTTATGAGAAACTGTTCAAATTCTTTGAAATAGGGGCTTGTTTGCAGTGTCCTCCTGGAACCATTGACTATGATCTTAGAGGCTGTGATCAATCTTATTATGTGATAAAGTAGAACATCAATGGGCCAGCTTCAGCCAGTGATGGAAGAACTCAGGAAGCAGAGTGAAGATTAATTTTCTGTGTCTTAGCTAGTAATACCATCCAACAACCTTAAATTCTAATTCCATCATTAAATTGTTATTAGCACATCTCCTTGCTGCTTATTTTTTGGATTATGTATAAAAGTGGAAATTTAGAGAGGACACAAGAGGCAGCATCTTCCAGGGTAAAAAAGGCTGCAGGTTGTTACTTTGAAATTGGGTCATTATGCTCTTTACTTTAAAAAGGTTAGCAAGACAGTTACACTTCATTTTTTAATTAGAACCAGTTAAAACACCAGAAATGTAAGATACATTTATTATGCACTGAAATTATTTAGCATGCAGAAACACACAGTTTGAAAATTAAACATACAAAAGTTACAAATCGAGGTTACATATACAGTGCAGTAGCAGCTGGCCTGAAAGAAAGAGAGGGCATGCATAGTAACCATCTTTGGGAAAACAAAGATTTATAATAAATTCAGGCCTTAACACACTTAATACAATGATTTATATTCATTGGGTTGGATCCAGACTTACACTCAAATCAATGTTCCATTGATTTATAATAGGTCTATGTTGGGGGTGACTGACTGGATCCAACCAATTATATTCAAGGGAAGCGACTAGCGGTGCCCAGCCATGTGCCTGTAGCACAAAAGCATTCAGTGTTTTTTGCCCAGGGTCACAGATTTGAGTGGTGGGGACCGCCGGGCTCGTAAAATACGAGCATACGGGCTCTCTGTTGGTGTAGCAGGCCGGGCTGCTGAACGAGTCAGGAAGTTGTGCAAGAAAGGCTTCTTGATGGGAGGCTGACTTTTGGGCTGCATATTTTCACTGTTGTCACCAAACCGTTTTTTGATGGAAGAAGTAGGTGGGGGTAGTGTTGCTGCTTGAAGCCTTTGTACAGTTTGATACTGCTCAGCAATACAGGCTGCTTTCTTCCGTAGGTCAAGCTTCACTAGCATCATGTTGTTCTGAAGTTCAGCTAGTGTCTGGTCCTGAAAAAAACAGCCAGCAGAGAACTTAATTCAGTTTTATGAAGACAGAAACTCTCTTCATACAATCAGACAATCCATGGCTTGTTAACCAGAGGTTGTTTGAGAGTATACCCATTTGACATGTGCTGGTTCCCATCCGCTGCCCTGCTTTCACAGCTGGAGTAGTCACAGTTTGGAGCCAGGTTGCAGATGGCTGAGGTCTGTATGTGGTGTATGGCTATTGCTCAGGCCTATGGGTTTCATGCTAAAGCTCCCTACAGAACGAGACCACTGATGTAGGTGCCCTCAGTAGTGGCTACACCGAGCTTTATTCCTATCCATTTAATTCAAGTGAGGTTGCAGACATGCTGAACCAGTAATGAAATAAGGGAAGACCAAAACACTGAACCTGAAGCCTAACAAGGTGGGAGGCACTTTGGTGAGCTACTGATCTGCCCAGACGTGTGTTCATCTCCCTTTACGTTCACTCTTTGAGATCAGGTTCATGGTCTGTGCCAAGAACTCCAGTTTCATTTTGGAGCTGTAAATGACAAGGCATAATGCCACTCACACTGGCCAGTTAACCATGCTCTGGAAATTTTCATATTAGGACTACCACAGTGGATTATATCTAGGATTGCCTTAAAAACTATTCATAAGCTCCAGTTTGTAATGCAGTAGCAGGATTTTGGACTAAGTAGCCCTGACCATTGGACATAGTGGTAGCCTTTGGAAGCCCTCCTCTAGGTGGCCACTATGAACAGAAAAAAAATCAGTCCATCTGTATTTTGCAGCTATTCAGGTGCCTTTGCCTGCTCATTGACCAATTCATATTTTGCACAAATTTACATTTCCAAATATGCACAAATTCCCCCAGAATGTGCATTTATAGGGGAAGTGTGCATTTTTTGATTAGTGGGGATTGGGTTTTTTGCAGGGGCGGGGAGGAATTAGCAATTTACAATTAAAATTATACAGTCCATGGAATCTGCAATTCTGGAAGAGCTGGTCTGCTGCAGAATCCATGGATTGGATTCTTAGAAATTTGAACTTGTTTAGTCCACTGTAGATTCCCTACACATACATCTTTGATGGCAGCTGAAGAGAGTGCATTTTGTTTCCTGTGGACAGCCCACCTGTGGGAAAAAATCTCCCTAGAGAAGTTTGTCTGGTACCATTACGCATTTTGTGTGACCTCTGGTTGAACATGATTTTATGGACTACCATGGCTGTGGATCTGCTGTGCTATTGATTGGTAATAGTACCAATTTTTGGATTTGTCGGCCATCCTCAAGGCAAGATAAAAAGTATTACCAAACGGATCCAGCGCAGCTCAAATCAGAGATGGTGCGCTGAACTGTGCGATGCATCGCACAGCTGCTGGAGCCTGGCAGATTCCTGCCCATACCTGCTTGACTAGGATGCTGTCACACTTGGAGAGGGTCTCACGGAGCTTCCCGGCACTTGTGCTGTGACAACACGCTCTTTCGGCGGACTGGAGTGACTCCCCGAGTTGCAGCAGTTCAGAACGCAGCAGCCTCACATGCTGAAGAGGATGGAGTAAGTCAGGAGGGGGCAGCATCCAGACCCCAAGGGGAGAGGAAAGTACAATGGAAAGCCTTTGTCATGGACCAGCACACCCATCAGCGAAGCTGAGACATTGTGGCACTTCCCAGAAAAGGACAATCAACCTCCACACCCTCACTAGTATGTTACCTTTTGGCCTTCCTCTAGCTTCCGGTCCACATCCAGAGTGAATGGCTTTGCAGAAAGCGGGGGCTCCAGCATCTTCCGGTACTTACGCAGCTCTGGGGACAAGCAGGGCAGAGCACACCACAAAACATTCAAGCCAGCGGTTGAAATTTAGGCCAGTTTTCAGTAAAGAAGCTGACTCTCAAAAACTGATTTGCCATCTTAATACTGGTCTATGTCCTGTATGACTACATCAGGAACGAGCAATATAATTCACCTTATAATGGGAGATGGTAGGGATTTAGAAAAGATACGTATTTTGGATGCTGTGCAGGATAGAATATACTGTGATCTAAAATTCCTAGGCTGTTTTATGTAGTTAATTTAATAGATTTGTATACCACTATAAATATTTTAAAATCCTTTCTTTAACTTCAAACTTTTCAGCTATTGCAACAGTATTTCAAGGTTGCAGACTTCAGTGACTGCAACAGGGTTGTAAATAAATAATTTTCATGGAGACAAAGTGGGCAGGGGAAAGGAAGGGACACAAAGAAAAGACACGACGAGTATCTGCCCCACTCATTTGTTCTTTTTTGAAAAAGCTACTCATGTCAAGCTTGCAGCAGGGCTATAGCACCGAAGAAAAGCAGCCATTTTGCCTGCCAAAGGATAGAGGCTCAGCTCCTGCAATCTCCAGTTAACAGGACCAGGTAGCCAGTGACGAGGGACACATTTGTGCCTAGGACTGTGGAGTCCCACTGCCCAGTGGGCAATAGCCTGACCTGAGACTGGTGCGCTTTCCATGCTCCAGGGGATCAACTGTCGAGGAAGCCAAGGTGGCCTCCTGTACAGCCACATGATAGGACAGGCTGGTGACTCTGTATCCATTGCAGCGTCTAGTCTGAGCTTTACAGGTGCTATCCATGGGGCTCAGCTTCTTTGGGGGATGGAGTTTAGCACCAAGGGATCTCCTGTAAAGCTCAGAATAAAAGCTGCAGTGGATAAGGAGCCCCCACCAGTCACCAGCCTTCCCTGCTGGACAGGTCATCCAGGCCTACCCTCACCTCCACAGCAGTTCACTCAGTTCCCAGTGGCTAGGAAAGTGTGCCTTTCTTCCATGGGGCCCAGTCCCTGAGCAGTGGCCTGCTCGGGTGCCTCATGACTGCAGGAAGTACCTTCATTGGCCGCATTCAGCTTTGCTTTCGCCTCCGTCAGTTCCTGCTGATGGACCGAGGTGGTGCGTTTGGAACGGCGCAGGCTCTCCTTGGCCTCCTGCGGCTCAGTTTCCTGGGGTTTCTGCTGCCGTCTGGCTTCTTCCAGGGCAGCTTCCAGCTCTTCAATCTTATCATCCCGATTCTGAAGGGAAGAGACAAAAGCGGACACTGGGGGGAAAGGCAGCCTGTGAACAGGAAGCCAGTGTGGGCAGGTGGGGGGAGCAAGCACCCCACACAAGCTCAGAGGTGTGCTGCAAGAGCTCCTGCAGCAGCCTTGCCCAGTCTGGCCCCTCCAGCTGTGTAGCACCACAATGCTCATAATCCCCCTCCACCGATATACCTCACTATCTTCTCTCCTTGTCTTGCTGGCAGGGAACAGTTTATCTGCCCTCTGGCCTGCCAGTCACTGGGTAGGGTTTTTTTTGGGGGGGGGGGGCGGTATTTTCCCTCCCTCTAGAAGTCTGAGCTGCTTTGTTGAAGGGTTTAGCGCCTGGTAATAAGAGCTTCACGCCACACCAAGCTGGTACTTTGGCCCCAGCCACCACTGCATCAAGTCGCACCAAAGCTTCTTTGAATTTAATAGGCTGAGAGGGACTTACCACTCACCACTTTCCAGAGTGGCTCCATGCTCTTCCCACTTTACAACACACACACACCCTACCTCGATCTCCGCCATGTAGTATTCTTTCAGAGACTCCCTCAGGTTGTTCAGCCGGTCCTCGTACATTTCCTCCAGCATCTCCTTCTGGGCATCCAAATGATCACTGCCAGGGGGAAGGAAGAAAGCAGCTCTGTGAGAAGGGCGGCCTCTGGGGAGAAGGCCAAGGGCTCGTCAAGGAGGCTTCTGGGAAAGGGTGAGGCCTGCCTCTAGCCCTCCAGGTGCCACCACACCTGCTCCACTGTTCCTTCTGCTGCAGGAGTTCCATCACCTCGGTGCAGATCTCATCACGGAGACGCATTTCCAGCTGGAGCTTTTCCCGCCGCTCCTTCAGCAGCAGGTTCTGCACAGCCTCCACCACACGTAGGAGGTCCTGGTTGCAGGTGGGGAGAAAGCCAAAATTGTGACAGCTGCCACCCTTCCCTGGAGAAACCGTGACAGCTCGAAGTGGGGTCAGGGTGGCTGGTTCCATCTCCAGTGCAGCCACACGCTTGACTGTCCCTTCATCCCCAACAGCACTGGGCAGAGACATTTGAACAGAGGTTCTGCTGAGAGGGCACCCCAAAGTGTGTGGAAATGAGCAGAACCCCATTTCCAGCCTTGCCACTGAGGAATCAAGTGGTGGGTCCCAGTGGGCAGGGGGGCAGCCAGCTCATGTGGCTCCAGCTCTGTTTCCTAGCACTTGCTCACCCCAAGCAGCTCTTGGAGGGCTTGCAGCATTCCAGCAGAACCGAGATTAGCAAGAGCTGGAGGGATCCAGGTTTCTGATTTACTAGAACTAGCAAAGACAAATTAGCTACTCAGGTGTCAATGAATGTCACAGGCCCCTAAGTCACCTGCTTATTCCTACAGCTTTCCGGGGATGGGGGGTGGGGAATAGGCACATTTTACATCTATTTTTATTTAATTCACTATTGTTCACTGCCCAGAGAGCTTCCATAATTTCAAGTCAGGCACACAGATTCTGGGCTGGGCTGGGCTGGGCCGGGAAGAGGCTTTGCGAGCTGCTCCAATCCTGGGCCCTCCATGCTTGGTGTTTGGTAACTTGAGTCTTGCTCAGTGAGCAAAGGACGAACTGTCACTTGCCTCTTTATCATATAGAGTCATGTCCGCTTCATCCTCACTCTCTCCACTGGTCTCTTCTTCTTCTTCTTCTTCTTCTTCCTCCAAGGGAGCCGCAGGGGCCCTCTTAGTTCGGATGCCGTGTTCCTTGATGAGAGCGCGGATGGACCGGGCTCCCATCTTCACAGGAGCTTGAACAAGCTGAAAGATACATGCTCTCAGTATTGGCATGTGCAATGAACATTGGCTATATATAAAAACTTTTTTTCCTAGAGGCAAAGGAGTGCTTCTTTTCCCTTGGCTAGGAAGAAATCACCATCAATAGCAGCAGGCTTCTGGGCACGTGCAGAAAGATTTTTTGGTGGCATCATCTTTTAGGGCTGGGAAAGTTCATCAAGAAGTGAGTGGGGAAACTCCCAGAAAAATACATCAGGATTTTTCTTGTTTTCCAGCTTCCTGTTCTGGCAGCTGAGCAAGAGCAGGATGTCCTGGTGGGAGTGGTAAAGACCTGTCCAAGTGGCAAACCTAAGGACTAGTTAGTTCAATGTATAGTCTTCAGAAAGTACTCTATCTGGCAGCACCCAAAGGCACCTCAATTTGTGCCCAGCCGGAAAGCTAGTCCTCTGCTCCACTTAATGTTTGTGCTCGTACAGGTGCTTAGAAATTCCCCCTCCTATCCCATGCCATGCGTCTACTAAGCCAAGGCGATCAATTGGAGGCTCACCAGCCACATCCAGCCCTCCTCAAACACCATGAAGGTTCTACATCTCACCTGCTGTGGCAAAAAGCAGGAAGAGGATTGGGATACGTGCTCTCCTCTCGTCCCCAAGCAGAGGCATTTGCCAGGGAAAAGCCACGGGGAGAGGGAGGGCTTCTGTTCTCTCCACAGCTCTCCAATCACTGCACAGCCCCAAGACTGAGAAACTAGCCAAAAGGCTAGTAAAGAGGGCAGGCCTGGAAGCTGCACCCCTTTCAAGTAACCATTTGGTGGAGACCAGGCCACTGTCTCCCACAGGAGAAGCAACAGCTAGATTCTGGCACTTTTCCCCTGCACAACTGAAGAGCAGTGGAGTCAGTACCAATCTGCAGTGTGTTTTTCATTGTACTTTTCACTTGGTTGTTCAAGTCCTGTGTTTACTGAGATGTTGTTTTTTAATCTGGATGTTACTGAGAGTGGACTTGAGCACCGTTTTTGGCTTGGCAGAAATAAAATGAGTATTTAACTTCACCCAGTTGTGGCCAGCCGTGCGGGACAGCCACCTGCACCCCAGTCCCTCAGTGTGTGGACTGTGGAGGGGTGGGGGCGAAAGCCTTGTGGTCTTGTGCCACTGAGCCCAGGCAGGAAGAGCAGAGATAAGCAGAGAAGAGACAGGAAGAGACCCTGCAGGGCGAGGACACGCAAGCACAAACAAGCACACCCTGGGGCGCAGAGAAAGGAGGATCATGCTCGGGGTGGAGGAGAGCAAGGGAGGGAGCAGCGGGGGGCCCAACGCACTTCCCCTCGGTGCTCCGGTCTCACCTGGCTGGCAATGGCAGAAAACTTCGCCACATGGAGGGTCTCATCGTATGAGGAAGCACAAGGATTGATGTTAACAACCATGCAGGACTGCCCACGCCCTGTGAAGAACCCCTGGAACACGCGTGTGAGCTTGCTGTCTCGGAAGGGCACAAGGCTCTGCTTCAACCTGTTGCTGAAAGGGAGAAAAGAGGATCTGAGCTCTGGGGACGCAAGAGGGAGGCACAGCGCTCATGCTCGGCACCCAGTCCTGCAAGCCCCTCTCAGCAATGCCTCAAAGTAGCCCAGACTGGGGAACAGGGAACGATGCCTTCCGCCGAGCCAGACCCTTGGTCCACCCAGCCTGGAGGGGTGACACCAGGTCCGACGACGATGCCCAGGGCTTCCAGCCTTGCATGGAGATGTCCGGAATGGAACTGGGGACCGTCTCCACCACTGATGACATCGCCCTGCCTCAAAGCCACACAGGAAGCATTCCTTCCTGCTGTCAGACAGATCTACCCAGCACCACCAGGAGCTGAGAGGGGAACACCGTGGGCTTGACTGACCCCGACTGCTGGTTCTGGCGCAGCAGGGAGAGGCAGCGCCCCAGCGTGTGCAAAGACGTGTTGATGTTATTGGCCTCTTTCATCCGGTCCCAGGCTCTCTGCTCTTTGCAGCGCTCCGATCCGGCAAGGTCACACAGCGACAGTCTGGCGAGAATTGAGGACAGCGTCAGCATGTGTCATCCTGGCTTTTCCACACTCACTGCGGTTTCCTTCCTCCTCCAACCCCCACCCCCACAGACAGCTCCCACATCTCTAGGTGAAACCACCCTTCAGCCAACCAACAGGTGGCCTCGCAATTCTCCTTATGAAAAACTTTGACTTACTCGCTGATCTTTGGGACCACTTCGCCACTGCTTCCCTGCAGGTGCAGAATTCGAATGGAGAAGATGCTGTGACTGAAAAGAGCAAAAGGCGGCCTGAGTTTTCCATCCCATCCTCCCTCCCTCTTTCATACCCTCCTTGGTATTAATTGTCTTATGCAAAGAATGTGCTCTGCCAACCTAGGCTGACAGCTCCCCACATCACTATAACTCCTAAAGATAGTAAGAAAATATAAAGCCTGCAAACCTGCGGCTGGAATTCTGGTTCATGTGGGTGCTGGCAAAGCTTTGATTTCTCCGACCCAGCTTCAACAGCTTCCAGGCCTCATCAGCATCCTGAACATTGATCCAGTTCAGATCTGGGGACAGGAGATACAGGTCAGGGAGCTGAAGGTCTAGACCATGGGTCCTCAAACTACGGCCCACCATGCCCATTTAACCGGCCGGTCCCAGAAGTTTTGCACTTGCTGTGCGCACACGTGTGCACATGCTGAGATTGTTTCTCCAATCCAAGTGAATCCAAACCAATCTCGCAAGCAAGCTGGCACCTCACCGTGTGCGCGCCCGGCAGAGGCTTGCTCATGGGGAGATTGGTTTGGACTCGCTCAGAGAAAACAACCTCTGTTCGAGCAAGAGGCTGCCTCACCCTGCACGCCCTCCCCAGCCACTTGCCACACACGCCCCCCTGCCTGCCCCCCCCCCACTGGCACCCATCTTGGAGGCCTGCGCCCACCGTGGGCACCTTTCAACTGGACCCCTGTTCTAGACTTCTCACATTCCACATCTGCTTGGGAATCACTTTGAGTATTTAGGACTGAGCAGCAGGGATATCCTGCCATTCATCCAAATTTAAGCCTTCTGATAAGAATGATTCACAATTCCAATGGGGAAACAATGGGCTGGCCTGAAGGTTACGTCCTGAGCAAACAGGTCTATTTCTACCTTTCACGTAGGGGTTGCCAGTCTGATCTTCACACAGCCGCAGCATGGAGCCTTTGCGGTTTCGGCCAAATGGGCTCACTTCCAGCAAGTCATAAATCATTTCATTGTAGATCTCAAAGAAGGAGACCCAGATGGAAAATTGCACATCATCTTGTGCCAGAAGGGAGACACTATCTGGGTCAGGCCAGCGAAGACCTGTCTCTATTGATAGAAGCCAAGCATGCATGTTGTCAGCTATACAACAATCTACAGTGGGTCACAATTACGGCAAGAGTTTCTGAAAATTCACCATGAAGTCCCACTGTCTTCCCCCACCCCCTCAGCCCTGGCCACCAATAACTTTAGTTTTCTCTCTAGTCTTGATACAGTGGCTGCCCTATAAAAAGCTTTCTCCCTTGGCAATTTCTCTCACATGCCTCTGACCAGTGAGTGGTGGTTTTAGCAACAGAACAGACTTCTGCTTTCTGGGCTCCACACAATTTGAGAGGATTGGCTTTACTGTCGAGCAACAGCTACACCGAAGGGATTCGGAGGATCATCTTTCAGGCCACTCAGAAAAACTTCCCAAAGCCACATACATCCAGCTACAGTGATGTGTCTCTAGCCCTCCCCAGCATGCCTGCCACAACCTGTCCCAGGACTGTGGCTGGGTAGGTTCGTGGGTGCTTCTGCTAAATGCCTTATATCTGTTGCAGAGTTTAGTTTGATTCCTTTCTTGCTGGTGGGGTTCTATTTACTTTAAGCTGCAAGATTCAACACCTCTTGGTGGATCTCTCTTCAACTGTAATTATCCACAAATAAGCAGACCTGCCCCAGAACTGGAGTTTCAGAACAGTTCGTACCTTCCAGCTGGCTGCTGCTTGTCTGGCTGGCAGAGTGGCAGGTGGAAGAGAGGCTGCCGATGCCACTGTCAGTGCTGCTGCTTGTGCCAGCTTGGAGCTTGGGGGTCTTGCTCAGAGATGTCAACAGCTCTTCCTGCAAAATCCAAAGGAAAGTGATGTGAGCACCACATTGCTTGTTGTCATAGACCAAAGGCAGGTAAATCACTCTCCGGTTTCATCCCCAGCATCTCCAGGAAAGGATCGTGCCTGGAATCCTGGGCTGCAAGCCAGAGTTGACAATACTGAGCTAGATGGACCAGCAGAGTCACTTAGGATAGAGCATCTCCTGGTGCTCTCCAGTTATTTTTGAAAACCCTATAATTCCCAACCATTTCCAATAATGGGTGGCACTTATAGGAGTTGTAGTGCAGCACTTTGGGAGAAGAACAGGTTGCCCACCCCGCCATAGACTCAGAGCTTGAGGCACTCACCTCCTTCAACACGCCGCATAGCAGAGCCTTCTTCTTGGTTTCCTCCTGACGAACCTGCTTGCTGTCCAGCCAGGTAACCTCACACGAGAGGCAGGGCTTCAGGTCTGTGGCCCGGTACAACCGTGTCCCAATACTACTGAATATGATCCCCAGGGAACGAGGCAGGATTCCCCCATCAGTACCACTTCCTGTAAGCCAAGCAGTAAGATGTGACTCGCCCTCTGGAGACAGGTGGCCCCCTGCTAGGCAGAGGGTACTGTCTGCAGAAGGACATGCTGTTTGCATCTTACCCTGGATAGTATAGGTCTTCCCTGAATTCGTGACTCCATAGGTGTAAACAAGCCAGTTCTGCCCACTGAGCACATCCTTCACCACCTCCTTCATTGTTGCATCAAAAAAGGACTTCTGATCCACCTCTGGCCCAAAGATCTGCATCCCAAAGGCAACAAATTAATGAGCTTACATAAGGAACAGGTAAGTTGGTTAGAGCAGACAGTAAATTAATCCTTGTTTCTCTACTACTTTCCCAGCTCTCCAAAACAGAATGTATCAGGTTGTGCAATCAGTGAAACTACATAGAGGGAGGAATTGACTGTACAGGGCTGATGATCATAGCAGATGCCCATTCTTTTATTTGCTTTAACTTCCCGCCCACCTCAATCCCTTTGTCTTTGCATTTAGAAATGTTTGTTTTACCTGTAGAGGTCTATAAGCAACTGATCAGGCTTCATTATTTACTATCATGCATTGTTTGGCTGTCAGTAGGAAGGAGCTCCAACGTATACTCTCTCTGGCCTGGTTCTGGCTGCTGTCCTGAGCTGCAGCCAGAAGGCCTGGCTTTGCATTGTCTTTTTCCTTTATCCAGCCACCTCAGTTACACCATTTTTTAAAATTTTGGTTTCCATTCCTCTTCCTTCTACAGTTAAATATTGGATCCTCTGCATTTACCTGTCGCTTCCTGCTCATGCTGCATTTTCAATCAGGTTGAGGTTTGATCTATATGGAAGTGTGAACTGGATACAGATTTACTTGCCTGAATAGACACAGCCCAACGTCCATAACTCCTACAATTTCTCTATCAGTACAGACCAGCCTTTCCCATCCTGAGGCCCCTTCCTCCCCACTTCAGCTATGTTGCACTACAACTGATAAGAGCCCCACTGGATCGGACCTAGTGTTCCTCTTTTCTGGCATTCTGTTTCTATTGTGACCAGCCACTGCCTGTGGGAAACCCCAAGGAGGACGATTGTGCTTTCCAGCAGCTGATAAACTGAAGCACCTGATAGCCGTTGATAGTCTCCTCCATCAATTTGTCCATTCTCCAAAGTCGTCCAGTCTGGTAGCCACCACATCCCACAGAAGCAAATTCCATAGTTTAACTGTGCCATGTGTGAAGCCGTCTTTCGATTCACCTGTCCTGAGTCTCCCAGCTTCATGGGATGACCCAGCTGGGCTCTGGTACTGTGAGGCATTAAAATACCTCCCCATTCACTGTCTCTGCAATGTGCCATAGTTCTGTGCACCTGCCAGGTTTCTTCTCCCCCACCTTTTTTGTAGGCTAAAGAGTCCCAGAAATACCTCGGTGATGGGATGCAACATATGGTAATGAGATGCCACTCTGACACGGAATGGGAGATGCATACCTTGGTGAAGGTGAATTTGTGCACTGCCTGGCCAACTCCTCGCTCAGTATTTCTCATGGTGAAGGAATCTTTGGGGGCTTTGAGGAGGAGGGTCTCAGGATTCTCAATGCAGACACAGCCCTGAGAAGTACAGGTATGATTCAGTATCTGGTATTAACACCCTCTTGCTTCGAGTACAAATAAAAATTTATACTCTGCCTTTTGATCAAACGACCTGCAAGGTGGGCTTATGACACACTGAACATGTCAAAAAATACCCTCAAGTCTGGTGCCTTTACACCAACAGGCACAGTTGCCCTCTTACCTTTGACTTATCCCTCGCATATCTTGACTCCAGAATTTTCATTTTATCCCAAAACCAAAAGCAACAATTTTCTAATCCAGGGCAGGAAACTTATTTACCCTCACTGATCTCTAGCCAAAGGATTACTGCAACGAATTGTACATGGGGCTACCTTTGAAGAGGTTCAGAAAGTTCAATTACTAGCTAGGTTAGTAACTGGGAGTGGCTGATTTGACCATATAATGCCAATGTTTCCCTTGTTAGTTGGGCACCCTTCCAGTCCATTTCAAAGCCCAGTTCCAAATGCTGGAACCCTTAAAAGCCCCAGACAACGTGGCTCCTCCTGCATGAATCCACCCTGAGCTTTAGGTCATCTGAGGCCTCCTTCCAAGTGCTCCTGGCACAGGAAGCCAAGCAACTGGCCACAAAAGGAAGACCTTTCCCAGCAGTGGCACCCCAATTAAGGAATAACCTCCCCAAACAAGTTTGGCTGGCACCTGCACTGCTGTCTTTTGCTAGGCAAAAACTTTTCTTTTTTTCCTCAGGCAGTTTAGAAACTTATTTCTTAGTCTTATCAAGTCAGTCGCTGCTTATTGTGTATGACACTGTACTTTATTATTTCATATATTTTACAGTAGTTTAATTTTAAAGTGGCATTTTAGTTTAATTAGTTGTAATCTCTCTGGAGAACATTACTTATTGGATGAATTAGAAATGTATTAAATAAAGTCAATGAAATATAAAGGAATAAAACCTAGTTAAGTCATCAAGAGCTCTGCCCCCTGGTAGGCAAAGACTGTGAAATCTAAAACTTGCAAATGTCTTTCTGGGAACTGAGTTGTTCTTGTAGAGTCAAGCTGCCCTGGTCATTCTAAACTGACCAACCACCCCACCCCCCCATGGAAAAACATACAAAGCAGTGAACACACTAGCCAGCACTGAACCATCAAGGATAGGAATCATCACGCAGTGTTCACGCATGGAATCTTTACACCAAACTGGCACCCTCCAGAGGTTTTGGACCACAACTCCCAGAATTCCACATCACGGTCATACTAGCTGGAGCTGACGGGAAGGGGTAGCAGGTGGGGGAAGGCAGCCCATTTTTACCGAGAAGTCTCTATGCACCAATGGTAAGGGAGCCCAGTGGCCTATATTCCCTGCATTCCCCCGACAAATGCATACTTGCACCATGTGGGTTCTGAGCCCTGCTTTGCCCCAGGCACTCACTTGATCCTCTTGCTTCTCCACCTCTGCCAGCTTCAGAGGGCGCACTCTTGCGTACACCTTCACCTTCCCATTGTCATCAGAAGCTGCCTAAAGAGAAGGCACAGGTACTGGTAAGGCTTGTACTTCAGGATAGCCATGAGACTGGTCTCACATCCACACCTACCTGGGAGTAAGACCCACTGAAGGAAGCACACAAATAGGATCAGGGCCACATACTTCTTTCAGGATGAGCACTGACCCTGCTCTCTAACTTTAATTTGTGCATCAAGTCCTGTCTGGCAAGGATAGTTTCCTTCCATGTGGGATGAGGGAGCAACAACAAAAACTAAGCTGCTTCCCCTCTTTTTAGGAGCCGGACAAACGTTCACTGGGGAAGGCATTTTTTGTTGCTCACCTCACTACCCTTACCTGCTCAGGGCTTGCAGAGATGGCCGAGAAATCTGGCAGAAGAGCTTTGCGTAAGCCAGCCCCACACTCTGCCACCGTGGATTCCAGCACAGGAGAAACGGCAGGTTCGTCATCAGAGAGCAGCCCTACTGGGGAGGCGAGTCCAAGGGCCATAACAGCCACGCACTCTTCCTGTGAGAGATGCCAGAGGAGGAAGAGTCAAAAGGGAAAAGACAACAATCTACACTTCCCTTACTTAGCTTAAATGTAAGAAAACAACAGCACTAATGGCACTGAAATATTTTCCAGATATTTAAATAATTGATTTTAATTTTGCACAATTTATTAATTTTTAATTGAATTAAGTGTTGGTGCATTTTAGATTTTAACTTGCAGTTTTAATTCTCAGATTAAACTCTCAGCTGTACATTGTATATTACACTGTTTATTATATTGTATATATTATGTTGTATGTTTATTATATATTGCTGTGTTTTGTGTTTATGATGGGTATTGATTGTTATGTTGATGTATATTGTTTTCATTGTTTTGTAAATCTGCTCAGAGAGTCCTCCTGGACTATTGGTTAATGTGGATTATAATTCATTTATAAATAAATAAATGACACTGGCACGCTCATAAATTTTAGCAACCCAAAGAATGTGTATGACATGCTGACAATCTACAACTGCCAAGCTCTTCTTAATGAATTTAAGACACTGCAAAATATCAGGAGAAAAATCCTTATCACATATCACAGAAAGTACAAATCAAGTGAAGTTATATTACATAATGTGAAACAGGTTTGACATGGATATGGGGAATGAGACATGCAAAGAAAAGAGAAAAGGATCCCTTCTCTTTGCCCTAGCTTTCTTCTCCCTACTCTGTGACATTTTGTTACAGATTGCACTGAGTCAGTTCTGGAAAGTAACATCTAAATCTATCAATAAAAGTACAAGAGAGGTGTTTTTTGGGGGGGTGGTTAACAATGTGCCATTAATCCTTCTCACAGAAGGATTAAATAATTTTTAAAAATTCTAAATACCAAACCTGGTCATGGAAATAAAAATGTCCAAAAATTCCAGACAATATTTATAGTTCCCGTCAACATCAGCTCCAGGAATTGTCACAAGAATGCAGACACAAGTTCAGGCACCACACTTGCCATTACTCCTCTTAAATACAATGCAGTCATTTTCAAGTTCTGCCACAATATAATGGAATTCATGAATAAAGATTTATATTCTTTGTAAACTGAGGCTTGGGGGTATATTAGGTACCCTCCTAATAACAATTATGAGAATTCTAATAGATTAAGCAGTTAATGGAAGGGCTAGCACAGATGCATAAAGGCCACAGCTGAGCAAATTTATCTGAAGGTTTTTCTCTTGACTTATGAAAGGCTTGTGGTTTTATTGCGCATTCTTTCTATTATGGCTGCTGCCAATTAAAGCTCAAGGGCATAAACAAAGCTAGAGGGCAGTGATCCTGAGCAACACAGCAAGTAACATCCTCACAACTCCATTAGTCACACTGTAGGTGGTGTAGCTCAGCCAAAGCTGGACTGCACTGTAGACAAAACTACCTGCAAAGAATTTCCGGAGGTATGTAGGAAGCTGCCTTAATACTTGGTCATTCTAGCTCAGTATTGGCCAATGACTTGCAGAGGATCCCCAGGGCACCATCCTCAGGCAAATAAATTGATTAGCTGTGGTGAACTATATCATAAATGTAAGGTGCCACAAGATTTTTCCATGTGGAAGTGTTAACAGTTGCTCAAACAATATGGTCCCAGTAACAACCTTGCCATCTATACTAGCTTATTTAGGGAGTAATCCTACGCATGTTTAGCCACAAAAACTGCAACTTCTAGCATCCCTCAGCCTGGGGTGGTGTAAGAATTTGCTTTCTTTAAAAATGCGTAGATTGTACCTTAAAATAACTGAGGAAGATTTTTTAAAAATGCCATTTCATAAACTAACCATCCTTGGGATCAGATCCCCACCTCTTCTCCCCCACCCCAAAAAAGTCAGAAATCAGGAAGGGGAACCACTACTAATAGATACAAGCTCATCGACGCGGATAAAGAGGTTTCTTTATAACGCAGTAGCAATGTAGCCACGCTTGGTCCTCAAACGAAAGGGGTGCACTAATTAAAGGTACAAGTCCCGCCCTCTGCGGCAGTTGCAAAAGTAAAGGGCCAGACCCCCCGCGACTCACGCGCGGGCCGTCAAGCGCTGGCAGATTAAACAATCGCGGCTCTCACCCGTTTCTTTCTCCCGCCGCGCTTTGTTCCGCTCGGCCCGCCGAGCTGCGTCCACGCGCGCCCCCGCACGAACCCACCGCCGCCTCGGCCGCTGCCTCTTCCATTTGATTCAAACCTCGCGGTCAACCCGAGCAGCCAATCCGAGTGCAGCGAGTGCACGGCCCAATCGCCGCCCGGGGCGTGGCCAGAGGGAAGCCGAGAACGACGCGCTTCTCTTTTCCGGAGCGGGGACGCGCATGGGCGGAGTCCGCCTTGCTTCACGTGTTGCTCCCGAAGAGCGTTGGCTTTCGGTGGTCGGATGCTCGCGTGCGCCTAGCGGACTCCCGTAGCTCGTGTTGGCTGACAAGCGGGCTATGCTGCCGGATATTTATTTATGTAAGGCATTTTTTACCCCATCCTTTACCGAGGTCTCAGGAAGGCAGAAGTTAAACGATATGGATTGGGTAATCCCAAAGTTAGCCTAGCTGAAGTCTAGCTTAAAAGTTTGCCTTACTTTAAGTAGGACTAACTTTAGCGGCGGCCCCATCTTCTCTTAACAGCATTCACACTCGGTGAAGCGGGTAAGCCATTTCGGACCCTGAACATAGTAGTTTTCCATACGGTATGACGTCACTTGCGAAACACGTATTTTTCTCCCCACCTCTGCCGACCGTTCCGTGCTTTAACCATCCCTCTTGTACATTCCTGGTATGTCGGCACAACAAAAAAACACAGCAAAAATAACTAAGCAAAAATATCAGTTGCCAACATCCTGAATGAAAAAAGCAGAACATTTCTTCAGTCATCACACCAAATTGTGAATTTGCTTCTCTCCTGGTGTTAGACTTGAGAGTTAATATAAATTCATCGTGGCACAACATGATACCTTTAAAAAGTAAAAATAGTAAAATGAGCATCTGGAACATGCTCAGCCATCCTAACCCTCAAATGTAAACCGCCCCCCCCCCCAAAAATCTTTTTTTTTTAAAAAGGCAGAGGCAAGGAGTGCTAGCCTGATACCTCATTCACAGTATGCTCTCATAGCCCCAGAAGGGACTATGGGAAGGATTCTGTACAGGATGCTTTTATACCCTATTAGTCAGGTTTTTGGGTGGGATCACTTTCCAAGAGGCAAATGAAAATGCAAACAAAGTTTGAATGGATTAAGATAAGAGACAAAAGGAAAAGAGCTTTCAGGACAGCAGTATGTATACAGTGTACCTGAGGAATCAGGCTAACAATAGTTTCCTGATCAGATCAGGTTCCCATCTTGACAGTCTGAAGCAGTTTTTGTCAGCGTCAGGTTTTGGCGGGGGGTGGGGGGCATTATGACAGAGCTTTGGCTCATTTAGCCTTGATTTGAGTTCTCAGAGCTACCCACCATTTTGACTGCATGAGGTTAGTCTTGGTCCTAAAGCCAGAAAGAAGGGGCTGGACCACGTGATAGAACTATATGCCAAGTAGGACCTCCCAGCTGCCTCAAATTATATTGTTCTTTACTTAGAAATGGATGCTTGGAAATATAGCATGTAGGAGCCAACTGCAACTTCATATAGCATGAAGAAGTACCTTATTCCCAGTTAAAGCATGTGAAGAATCCTAAATTCAGAAGTACAATCTCTGCTAAACGTTAAGCAGTATCTCTCCTCAGCCATATGCTAAATTTAATAGGAGTATATATATTCAAGTGTAATTTTCATAGGCAAGTTATAGATTAGGATGTTTTGTTGAACTCCACCCTCGCATGAACACACAACTTGAGTGAAGAATGTACTAGCACTATCAAAAGGCATTCTGCGGCTCCTTCAACCCATACTTTAAGATCTTCTTTGGATGCCTTTCTACATGTTCCACCAACTGAGAGAATAAGTTGGGAACATGAGACAGGGGCTTCTCTGTGGCAGCACCCTTTCTGTGGAGCTCTCTCCCAAAGGAAGATAGATTGGCCCATTCTTGGCTGTTATAGGCAGGCTGTTAAAAATTTTGTTCCACATAGCTTTTTAATATTTATAAAGGCTTCATGGACTGTAGTGCACAATGTCGTAGTTTTTCAACTGCCTCAACACTGTAGTTTTTGCTTCAAGAGACTAACATTGTTATCCCTCTGGGAATAGCTTTCTCACAGTAAACCTGAAGCTGTCCATGTCTATTTTTTCTTTTTATTTACCTGTGATCACTATTTGCTTATTGAAGACTTATATTCAAATTCATTATTAGTTATCGTTATTGGCAGAGAGTTCCCACATCCTTTCTGCACAAGAGGGAAGGCAAGACCTGCTTAGTAACAAGTTGAATGCGATTCATTCATGCCAGTGCATTAAGAACAAAATTCCTGTGCTGGGGGGCTAAGGAGAGCCTAATTTTTTATCCCTCTCCATAATTTTTCAAATCTATATTTTCTAAAAAGGAAGCAAACAGATAAAAACATGACAACCTTGGGGAAACTTGAACAGAAAAATTCTGGAACTGTCATAGCATAATGCAACATTTATTTTGTGAAACTATACATTTGGCAGCTCCTTGTGGGAGCAGGACTTCGGATGTAACTCCAGCAAACAGGCTTCAGCTTATGCTTTGATTGCCCTTATCCACAAAGCTTTGGCTAAGAGCCCTGGGCCAAGAGACAAGATAATGTTGTTTCAGAAGTGAACATGGAAACAGCATTTTATTTGTAGAAACCAATGAATTTCCAGATAGAAATGGACCCACCAACTAAGAGAGTAGGGCACCCATTAGATCACAAAGGAGCTTAAGGGAGAAAGGGGGTGGATGATATCAAATGGCTAAAGTCTAGTTAACAACTTTTTCTTCAGCGAAAGAATTAGGGTAGCGGGCTTAAACTTCAGCTTTTCAACTCTGACTAGTTTAGCTCCTCAACACCTGTAAGAAAGAGAGAAACAGTAAATCCCCAAGGAGTTACACTCTGCCCTAGAATTGCTTGTCTCTGCCTACATAAAGTGCAGAGGTCTAGGTGATGATGAAGGCCAATACATAGCATCCATTGGAAATAAAATCTATACTAGACTTAACCCTAACCTAACCTGGTGCCCTCCAGACATTTGAGACTTTAACTCCCATCAGCTCCAGGACAAGAATTCTGGGGGTTGTAGCTCAAAATATCTGGCGGACACCAAGCTGGGAAAGGTGAAAAAAGGGGCATTCATTCATGAGAAAGCTAAGAAGGACAAGGCTCACCTCTTGAGATGAGTACCTCCTACATTTGGGAAATCTGAACTGCAGTGCTGTGCCGGAGGAGACCCTGTGGAAGTGCTACAATATAGCTGCCCTTTGCTCTTACAGGCATAACAACCTGGTTTACAAGGGGATGGATGACACACGTGGCTGTTCCTCTCCAAACAGGAGCATCGTACCTTCTCACAAAGCCCTGCATCTCTTCTGAGCACAAGAGCGCTTCGCCCAGCATTTGGAGCTGCTCCAGAACATCATGCTGCATCTCCACAGCAATGCGGTGGATGTGGTGATTGGAACTATTGTACATGATGGCATTTTGGAACATCAGCATGAGATCCCGCTGAAACTGGACCATATTCTGAATCCGGCCTTTGGAGAGGCTCCTCTTTATGGAGGACAGATCTACTGGTCTTCAGAAAGCAGCAAGAGGTGAGATTTAACAGTTTGTACAGAAAGTTACAGGAACAGCTGCTTTTACAGGGCTCCCCAAAACAACCCAGACAGGTCCATTCCAGATCTCTTCCAAGATCTGGCATTCCATTTCCCTCAAGCAGCCAAGCAGACAAGACAAAAGCGCTCTCTCACAGCTCCCAACAGACCTTTTCACCACATCTTTGTAACCAGGCGCTTGCTTCTCAGAAACGGGCTTCAGGAAGGGGCCACTGTATCTAGTGGGAGCAAGCCAGACAAGATGAAGAAAGCTAGCTATTTTGCCTCAAAATGTGACCCCCTTACACATTCTTTCTGTCTCTCAGAATAACTGGTTGTGAGGGCAGTGACAGATTTCCATTCTGGGGAGCCAAGAATCATAGCATAATAGAAAACAAGAGGGTCAAATGCTCAGGACTGAAACACCCATGCCTACTTCTGTGCCCTGAAGATTCTGAAAAAGGAAATCCAGCCCAGATGTTGGCAGCTGGAATGGGTCTGTGGTTGTCCAGTCTTTCAATCTGAACCTGCAGTCTTAACCTTAAGGTGACCCCCTCTTCCTGATGCTCTGGCCCTGTGCTCCCCCAGCTTGCATCTTCACCCATGCTGCTGCAAGTATTCTTTAAAGTTGAGCCTCGCAGCCTGCTATTCTAACTTCCCCAACATTCAGTTCTGGTATTGCTATGCAGGATCCACACAGGTTAATGGTTCTATCATGTTTCACCTTGAGTTTGAGTTCCCCACTGTTCGAGTTCCTGTGCTACTTTTGGCATGTTTGTTGGACATAATATGCTTTTTCATCTTAAATTAGGAAGTGCAGTGCAGCCTTAAATAAATGAAAAGAAAAAGATCCTGAGAATGAAAGAGAGGGCTGGAGAAGCAGGACATGGGACACCGTTGACCCAAACCAGTCTAACCCTGTAGATCCTTTTATCTCCTTTATGACTTTGGGTGGAGAAGTGAGGGATCCCAGGAAGTGAAATTACACAGTTCTCTATATATGAGAACATTCAAAACAGAGTTAACTCAGTAGCCTGAATAAGAATCTGAAGTTTTATGGCTCTGCACACCAAGCTACGTTTGGGCTACCACATGTCATAAATCATCATGTTTGGGAAAATTGTCCCATTCTAGCATAAATAAGAATGCTCTCCAATCAAAACCATCATTTTCACACAATGCACACAAATGTATGCCAAAAATCACAAACAAGAAACTGGGGGGTATGAACCCCATAAGAAGCTCTGAGCCACTCCAATGATACACTCGCATCTCTGGAAGAGTGTCTTCCATGAGATAGCCCTGAATTCTGACTGGCTGAATGCTTCCTCATAGAAGACAACCTCCTTACATACAGGTGTATAAACGGCCTATTCTGGGATGCACACAGCCAGTTCCTTCTTGTTTTTCTATATTTTGGCAATACTTGATTATGAACCCAAATAAAAAAGGTGGGCTAGACATGATTCATGGCTATCTTGTA